ATTTGTCTTTCTTGTTATATAAGATAAAATGAGTTTTAACTATTATTTTTAAGAAAATCTAATATAATAATGAATTAAATAATCAGATACAAGAATGGAATGAAAAACGGAAACGCAAAACCGAGAGGAAATAACGTTGTTTCTCGGGGAGTGCTCTAATATTATCAGTCCGTCGTTATATCGGAATAATCGGGTAGCGAAATAATGATAGAGGCTCGTGGTCGTGTTCGAGCTGGTTCTGCTCGTTTCATTGTCATACGCATCGGTTTATTGATCTATTAACGATGATATTAATTAATGAAAGCGGTCCGTGAGAGTGCGTTGCACTCACAGCCATGCGCGTTTCGAAATCAATCGACGAAGAGTGAACAATCTCCCTCCAAACAATTGATAATATTAACGTTTGTCATCGAAGTTCATTAATGTAATCGAACAGCATTTAAATTAATTCAATAACACCCAACTTTTAAAGGTAGATGTACTTTATGAACGACCTTTTGCAGGTTTATTGCAAGTTTTAATCGATGATGCAGAAATCTGATACAAAAATTCCTTTTTTTATTTACAAGCCTATTTAATACACAGTGACATTCAATAATCATGTTTTATTGTACTTGATTGATCATATTTGACAAAAATGTGTGCACAAATTCTCTGGGCTCGAATTACACGTTACCGTTTATGAATATGTATGTACATATATTAAATCGTGGTGTGTGATGAGGTCGACTTTCCCATCGTATTAGGAAACAATAATAACGGTTGTATGGCAACTGATGATTGTTAATATCTAAACCAGCGGATTATCGTTATACAGCGGCTATTTGCGAGCTGATTTATTAATAGACGGATTACAATTTTGAAATACGGATTATCCGACCGGTGCGGTGTAACATGAAAATATAATATTTGGATGTACCTGAGTGGAAATAATTTGGATCGTACATGGGCATTATTGAAGTCCACCCTGTTACAGTGAACTGTTCCCTTTTAATTGATTATCGTTATTTCAGGATGGTTTCACGTAGCAATTAATGCCTCGGAGAAAATTTCGGTAAAGGCGAGCCGGACAGTGGAACGATGCGTAATAAATCAGCCTTAAGAGGGGCTGACGCTCGTGGCCAGTGAAAAGGATCGCATTTAATCAAACGAGGGGCGAGAAATACCGTTTAACCCTTTCCCGAAATACATTTAACCGTCCGATCTGCGGAACGGGTCCGTGAATTGGAAACGGGCATTCGAATACGATGAGCTCTCTCGATCATTATCTGATTAATTAATTTTCCTGTTGCTGGGCAGTATATTGATTTATGATTGAAATCTGCGGTTGATTCGCCATGTGACTATAGTTTTTTGAGGTATGCGAAAAATTGGCGACCTAGGCCAGTTACAGATTTGTGCATTTATGAAACGGGAACTCAAGAGAAGAACTACCAGAGGCATGAACAGCAGTCCCATTTATGTCTCAAGTGGCCCATGTTTCACACTACCTCTAAAATAATTACGAAAAGGCTTCCAAAGATCATTGTCAAACGTGAACCACTGGACAAACTCGTATTTTTTTTCTGTGTTTTTTTTTATTCTTTTTTCCTTTGTACACTTCATTCAGGCTTTAGAATATATACTATTGGAGGCAGCTTCCATATGTCTAAAATATAAAGTGTAGAGAAGCCGTAGGAAGAGAGAGGTATTCGTGTACGCAATTCGTTGGTTTGTTCATCCCCCGGTGCGCGCCAGATTGCAAAAACAACCCTTTCAAGTGAATTTTGCGCGGATTCGCGGCCGCGCATTGCACAGGTATGTAGCTGGCCTTGGTTTTGGTGCTCGGTCGGTCATAAAAATCGACCCTTTCAAGTGGATTTTGCGCGCTACGTACCCGCGCATTCGCCCAGTGGGCACGTCTTTTGGCCGCGCAAACCCTGCACGATCGTGCCCGGGACTGTAACCAGCCTAATGCTTCGCCAGATTTGAAACGCCGGTTAATGAAAACAGAACACGCTCTCGCGTTAATTGCACGACCGTCTGCCGCTCCTCCACCCAGCCTCGCGTGAAACGCTTTGTTGCAAACAGCTTTGCATTAAATATGAATGTTTACGATGACAAACGGCTATCTGTCGCTACTCGTGTACGTTCTGAATCGATGAGTGGAGCACAAAGGGAATGCAGTAGTATTTGTCGACGTGAGGCCAAACGCGGCGAATGTTTTGTCTCATCGCTCGTTCTTATAATTCGTCAAGCAATCATTTCCACGTTAGTTACGTACAAAAAGTCACGGCTAAATAGAAATTATTTTATAGAATGAAAAATGAATGAATTCTATAGAATGAAAAGAAGGGAGAGCAAACGGAAATGAAAATTTTTTGTTAAAATTCGAAGAGTAAAAAAATTTACGATTTAGTAGATTGGCAAATTTTCGTTTTATTTTTATTCAATTCGAAGAATGGGTGCAGTAATTTCGATTCCTGTCGTTTTATCCAGTAATTCAACTGCGTGTTTTCATGACAATGGTATTGTGAATTCGATTTATTATTGATTCTTCGGAAGTATTTAGATTTTAAATCATTTACGAACTCATATATAGAGTCAGTATATGAGGTCGTCGATTCCTGTTTAAATATTTTACCGTGTTTCTATAAATTCCAAAATACGTACATATATGATACATCTATTGATCGATGCTCAGCAAAAATTATTGTCTGGATTTACTTGAAATTCTGAGAGTTTCATAAATGCTTAATAAGGGAGGATTTTTCGAAATTGCAGCTTTGAGGGTGAAATGTGTTTTTCTTTGTTTTGCAATATTTCTCAAATTTAATGAGATGTTAAACTAGCTGGTTTTGATACCAAAGTGTCATCTTATAAAATTACTGCAAAACGATTTCTGGATTTTTTGAAGTTCCATCCATTAAGGGGATGAAATAGAGTGAAATGTATTTTTGCGAATTTACTTATTTTTCTTATCTCACAAAGACAGTTTTATGTAGATTGCTTCAGAGTGAGTTCAGTAAGCAGCTTAACAATTTTAGCACCTACGAGAATAACTACAATTGTTGTTTACGAAAAACGGTGAATAAAATATGACTTCTTTCATTTTTCGTTAGAACAAAAATATTGCAGTCGAAGCCACGACAGGGAATGCTAGTTAGTTTAAAAAACATAAAACGTTTAGTGCAATATTGATCTTGCATGTACGTATTATCCCAAGTACAAAGATTTGAGGATTAGACGTATAACAAAATGGAGAATAGTTCAACCAACGAAGAACAGACAGAACAGACAAAGCTTCCTCTTCCCAAGTGGGGAAATTAATTTCGCGGTATTCGAAACGCCGCTGTACACCGTTCGCGTGTGCGTATGTGTATGCCTGCTTATGCTTCGCTTGCGTGTGTCTACGGGAGCGCGAGAATGTACCAATTTACCGTTAACCATGGCCTTAGGGCTTCCGTGTTTCAATCTGAGAGCGAAGGATGTGCACCTCTCGGCAAGATTAAGGCACGTACACATCGCGCGAGCGTACCGATGCGACCGGGCCCCAGGAGTGCACTCCTTCACGAAGAGATACGCTCCGCCGGGAAATACGAGCCGAACCAACTATTTCGACGAGTCGCTCATTTTCCATCGACTTCACCTAATTTTGGAAAGATGGGAACAAGATTCATTCTGTAACTGTCTGAAATAAATTTTGTCTCGTTTAAGATGTTTCCTATCTTTCTGAATGATCGAAGTTTGATTTAATTTAGTACTCAAGGCTTTAAGGTATAAAACAATATTTAATGTCCTTTCGTTAAATCTCGTATTTTTTATATGAAAGTTTCCGATGAGATTTAAGAAATTCGAGTAACTTCACACGAGGATTCGCTAAGATGTATTTTAGATTATTTTTAATATACGTCGTGCAACAGGATTGACAGGATTGACAGAAAGTTGACAGAATAACAGAAGATACGCAGTTAAATTTTATTACTATGAAGAAATTGGTCGGTTTGTATAATAAATAAGACACAGACAAAGACGATATTCTCAATAGTTTCTGTCAGACTTAAAGTGCGTGAAAAATCTCGATTTAATTTAATAAATAATTTAATTTTGTACTTCCTCTCAGAGTATACGAATATTGGGAAAACGAAACAAGTTAAGAGTTGAATTACAAAGAGGTGGAGGTTTAAGAAAAAAGGTAAGGAAGAATGTGAACGATTGAAAGTAGTCGACGTTGATATAGTATTGAACAGAGGGAAAAATAAATTGTATTTATAACGGCGATAACTTTCTCACCGAAGGCGATGCCTGGTTAAAGATATTCTCCGGCGAGTTGTACGAACGTACTTTGAGACGGAGAAAAGTTTACGGTGTCCAATTATACATACATTTCTTAGTATAGAAAGTTCAGTGAAAACTGTTTCACGTGTTGCGTCTTCCTGCACGCGATGCGGTCTGCAGATTCTCCTTGCGTTCGTTCAATCGATTTCTCAATACAAATTAATAAATATTTTAATGTCTAAATTGAAACTTCTTAATTCTTGGGTTAAGGAATAATTTCATTTGAAGATAGATTTTAGCGTTTGTTAAATCGATTTCCCAGTTCTATAAGCTCGACATTTCACGACTTGGGATTGTCAATTGAAATTAATACATAATTTAATGTTCAGATTTTGAAACCTCTTAATTCTCGGGTAACGCAGTAAGGAATAATTTGAAGACTCACTTTGCAACCCTCACAGCTGGTCACGCCGTAATGATAACCGCTCGCTTTGTCACCGCAAACTCTACAGGCCACGAAACTCTTCGCAGGCGTCGAACTGTTCGAATCGGCGGCCGCGTAGTGTTGTTCTGAAAAATAAAGAGGACGACTATAAGTTATACGTTGTACGTGATAGAAGACAAATTTTGCGCTGAAGGTAACTTAAGGAATGAAGGAATTCGAAATATATTATTCCATATTCATTGCACTCATACTTCGTATTTTTAGAAAGAGCCAATAATGGGGATGAAAAATGTTATAAATAAGTTGCGAATTTTATGTATTTATAAAAGAACTGAATGCACAGAATGCTGCACGTGATGGATGAAAATATTCGTAATATCAAAATTGAATTATTTTTATTTAATAATTAAATCATAAAATGAATATGAAAACAATTTATTAAAATTGATATCATGAATGTTTTGTTCTTCATAAAAATCCGCAGTTTACTTATAATATTCTTCTAGTTCTCAAACATCTTCCCATGGTTTCAAAGTATCCTTAACCTCGGGTTTTCTTCCTATCCGAACATGAACAGATGAGATCACGGTTCATCGAAGCCTTCCTTATTTCTAATGATCAAAAAACGATCATCGCGTGCCTGGATCTAACGGCATCGCCTCCCAACGGAAACAGTTACCTAAGCGTAGATGAAAAAAAAGATGATCGTCGGTTCTGGCCAAACGGAGATAAATGCTACAGAACTGGAAATAAATATACGGACAGAGTGGAGTATACAAATGCTACCTTTTATTCTTTCCTTCGTAAATCCAGTCTATAGCAACTTTTTGTTACACATCATATAATAAACTAATCTTTCTCTGACAGCTAGAAAAAATTAGCCTTCGATCAGATGCTTTGCACAGGTTGCGAAGGATTTAAAGAAGATATAATAAAGACCATAAATATTCGTCAACCATTTTCTTACTATTCGACTTAACGAATCATCTTTTAGGTGTTAGAGAAATTAGTTTAATGTATAACAAAACGTTAAAACAAAATTTGCTACAGGTCAGATTTACGAAGAAAAAAGTAAAGGGCATAAGTTTCAAGTTTCTTATTTGATTCTTTAATAAAAATTTAAAACATGCTCCTTGTAGATCGAAGGATGTTTTAAATACGAAACTAATCTCTCTGACTCCCAAAAACCAATTACTTCGTTAAGTCCGATATTAAAAAAATTCTTCAATTTTGGAAAATAAATGGAAAATAAATACTTATGGACTCCACTGTAGACAGAATAAATCAAGTAGGAAGAAGAAAATATGGAAGCAGAAAGGAGAAAAGGAATCAAAATATTCTCTTGCCGAGAATATTTCTAAGTTAATTCGATGAAGATTTGCGAGAAGCAGGACAGTGGATGGACAGGAAGAGGCTAGTCACGATGGTGGCACGGAAGGTTGAGACGAGTTCGTTCACGAGTTCTTCCATTCGTCCTCGACCGGATCGTTGCATCCATAATGCAATGACAGTCGGGAACGCCACCCAAGGAAGGGAAAAGGCAGAGAGCTCTTCTGCTCGCGGAGGTGGTTCGGTGTAACGGAAAGCCTGTGTCACCGTTACAGAACACTACGGAGATGGCGGGGAAGCGAGCGAGCGGACAGCGGGTAGGAACGGGGGACGGAAAAGAGGAGGAAGAGGAAAAAAGATGAAACGGGGCCGTCTCCGCAAAGGGAGCGAGCGCACGAGAAATCGTATAGGAGCAGTCCGCGATGTTACATACTACCTTGTATACCGTTCGACTCTCGTGAAACCTCCGCCAGAAGACGTCGCGTCGTTAAGTGGCGAACGGGTTAGAAAGAGACGGTGAGAACGATGGATGAGGAATGACCGCGAGAAGAGTAGACGATTGGCGGGAAACAAAAATGAACTTTAAGACTCTAGATTAAGGGAGCGTAATTCATCGCACGAAACAGATGGGACGAATATTCTTAGGGCCACACGAGCATCAATTTGACGGATGTTTGTACGTATAAATTTTTCTTATTGTAATACATTGAAAGGAAAAAGGGAAATATATTGACTAGAGACTTTATAAAATGTTTGGAGTATAGAACTAAAGAATGCAATTTACACGTTCTTTGCTTTTACTCATTAAATATCGTGCACTTTACTTCTGATATTTTCTATCTTTTTGCATATTGACTGCACTGTTTAAAATTCAGCACACTTGTGTTTGTCATAAATGCACAAAAATCCGTAGTTTATTTCCAATACTTTTGGATGTTATAATAATCGACAAATTTTTACGAGGAGAGTACATGTTTGCAAGAGACATACATGATCTACCGTTCCAGTGTAATATCCAAGGGTGGAGGCGGAAGTGCTCGTGTAATGACATACAGGGTAACCGCTTCACGGTGAATTCAAATTTTTTGGTGCTTTCGTACGGTGCTTTAGTAATGTTGAGGCATAATGTATTAAATAATTACGTTCCTATAACTCGACACAAACTGGAAAGTTCTTTGAAACCGTCACACCAGTCAGAAATAATTGAAACGCTGGATCGATCAGGTTTTCTCGGCATTTAACATTTCTAAAAAAAAAACTCTACGGACAAGCATATCCAGCGGATTCCCATTCCCGCGTTACCCCCAGGGGTTATCACTCCCGCTTGCAACGAGTGAAATATTCCCGGTTGTTCGCGGGCCACGTACAGGACGTCCATCAATTCGAGGTACTCCCGCGAGGAGAAAGTTCGTTCGGGCAGAGCAGAATTTATAAGCAGAAATAGAAATTGCGCCTCCGCTCTGCGGAATATCACCGCGCGCGGCGGTACCGCGCGTAAGTGAAACGTTAAGCGCTATACGATTACAAACGGAATACACGGCAGAACTATAAAAGATTTATGATCATGATTCCATTTACAATACACGGCCGGTGCAACTGCGTGAAAGTCGTGCAGGAAAACGCGCAGATAAGGAACCGCGCGATTCATCTTCCTCGACAGATGTATCAATTACAGTTTCTTCTTAGGAGAGATTTACTTTTTTTTACCGTTCGATTAACTGGAGATATTATTTGGAATTTCTAAATATTTTGTTTAGAGAATCTGGAGAATCTACAACTGCTCGACCATCGATTAAATTATGGTCAGATCAGATAGACTAAAGCCAGTTTACCTTTTTTTTGTCGTGTGGTTAACTCGAAAGATTATTTGGAATTTTTAAATATTTTATTTAGAGATTGTGGAAACTCTAGAACTGTTCAAGCCTTAATCAAATTATGGTCAGGGTAGATGTATTAAAGCCACTTTACCTCTCTTGCCTTATGATTAACTTGGAAGATTATTTGGAGCTTCTAAATATTTTATTTAGAAAATATGGAAAATCTAGAACTGTTCGATCCTCGATCAAATTATGATTAGACTAAGCATTATAAAACCACATATGTCTATCATGTTCACAAAGTGAAATACGACTGTAAAGGAGATGTCCGCGATAGGGTTTTTTTGTGAGCAAAGCAATCAGTAATTTCGTGGAAGGCAGATTATTCATACGTTAGTTTCTCTGTTACAAATTGATAATTCTTTAGACAGTTTACGACTTTCACTTCAGGATTTCAAGACATCACAGGATCATACATTTTCTGAATGTAAACTGGTTTCTGTTCTTTTCTGAGGTTTAAAGATTACCTACATGATTTTCGATCCTATTTTCCCGCTTATTATATGTATACGATAGATGAAGGAAATAAGAAATTTTCAGGGCAGAACCGTCTCACGAGGACGCGCGTGTCACGTTCTCCGGCGAGAATTTTCTTGACCAGTTGTTCGAGCGAGAGATTATTCTCCCCGGCGCATATGCCAGGTAAACAACGGACCAAGGAGAGTATCCTCTTTGCCTGGAGTCGAGGGCCACGATACATAAATTTTGCGATAACGCTTGCATATATTCAAGAGCGCTTTGACCGAACGTTCTCGAAAGCTCGTTCGGAAGTCAGCCACCAAAGTAAGCTTTCCTCTATTCTCTAACCTCCGACCCCGCCGCTTGGTTTCTCCCTTGTTCCCATTCAAGGCATCGGGCTCGTATTCTCGAACTGGGTCAACTCAGTACACAACTAGTGTCTTTGACTAGATTAATTTACTATATGTATTAATACTAGTTTCTGTACAGTAAATCCGGGATGAAACTTCGCACGCTGTCCCTGCTTGCTCGGAAGTTCCCTATAACGTTCCCTCATTTTGTATCTCAAATGCGATATAATTAATTTTAATGGAAACGTTCTTTCAGTTATTGTGTCTTGCAATTGCGATCTAAAGTCATTAGGTGCTCTGAAAGTCTCGAAGTATAGCCAGGAAACACTGAACAGGCCCTTTTTCTTAAGTTATGGGAGATAGACAAACACATTTTTTTGACAGGATGACAAGATTTACCTCTGAGATAATCAATTATGAAGGAACTTGAAAAATTCTATCAAATGATGCAAATCAATAAATAGTCCCATTTGAAAAAACGAACTTGACCATCTCATTAAATAACAATGAAAAAAAGAAATTCGTTTCCATCGAAAGGTAAGCCGCCTTGAACCGTGCAAGTTTTGTATAAAAAAATTCCCATCTCTTCCACAACTTAGGAAATAAAGGACTATCTACTTTACTGTTTCGTGGGACACATGTACATAATTTACTGCAGAGTAAAAATGGTAACTTTCCTTATCAATATGAAAATAGGATGCCGACGAAAAAGTTGAAATAAGTTCGCACCGAAGATATTGTTAAAAGTTTATGAATCGCAAGTAACAAATTACTTCGAAATGATCGTTTATCACAGTTTATAAAGCGTGGGTATAACTATTTTTGATGAATACAACGCATGAAAGTTCTAGCGGAAAAGTTGATCCTTGCGTCTGACCCACTTTTCAACTTGCACGCGTTCCTTTTTTTTTAATATCTCCGCACGAACTATTCGAAACGATCATTGCCCGTTAAACTGTCTAATAGTAACTATTTCAGTGTTATGATAGCTATATTTCAAAGTAAACCAGAAAACCCTGCCATTATTCGAAAATGGGAGGATGCCGTTTAAAGGACGCACGCGTTATATGAAAATACCTATAAAATAACCAACATTCCGTATAATAAAATAAATCGTATAGAGTATAATAAAAAAATCTGTATAATCATACAAGCAAGTAACGTAATGTGGAAAATGCGAGCAATTTGGATGATCGATGGAGGGTGTGTAGCTGGCGAGGAACGCAGACAGGATTTCCTGGCTACAGATCGACACGTTGTTACATTCTAATTTCATATTACATAATATATTACGGTGAATTAAATGCAGAAAACGTAACTTTAATGCGGTCTAAATTCCGATCGGGCTCGATATGATTGCACTTTCACGAGCCAGCCTTTAAACTCGTTCGAGATTATACAATTACGTATTACGCGCGTCGGGGATTACGTGAGCGAAATATCGGTGGATTTCACTGATTTTCCCGGGAAAATATCAATTTGACATTCATTATAATATCGTGGCATTAATAAAATACTGTAGCGTGAAGTAAAGGTCCACTCTGTGACATTATCGAAAGGATTATCTCGGAAGTGATGCAATACCACCAATACTTTAATTCATATTTTCGCGTAAATGTTTCTATACCTAATGCACGCGTTTTACTTTGCGTTTAACATACAATAGAATCTTTGACGAAGGAGCATCATTTTGGCATTTGAACATCTCCAACAACGCGTGCAATTTACGCGCAGCAAGGTTCGTCTATTGGCTCCTTTGACCTACATTTCTAATCTACCGAATTAACATTCCTTACATTGTTTGACGCATAAAGAAAATAATTCTAGCAGCATGTCAATTTATCATATAATTTATTTCGCTGATTTTCCCTGGAAAATTTGCACATTCATTATAATATTGTAACATTAATAAAATATTCTAGCGTGAACTGAAGCTCCGCCCGTGACATTAACGAAAGGTTGATTTCTGAAATGATTTTCTAAACCAATGATTTAATTCATATTTTCGCGCAAATGTTTCTATAACTAATGCACGCATTTTACTTTGCGTTTAACATACAACAGAATCTTTGACGAAGGAGCATCATTTTGGCATTTGAACATCTCCAACAACGCGTGCAATTTACGCGCAACAAGGTTCGTCTATTGGCTCCTTTGACCTACATTTGTAACCTCCCGGATTAACATTCCTTAAACTGTTTGGTGCACCAGCAAAATTACTCTACTAGATATACCGACGTAACAAACTACCATCAACAAAGTACATCGGTCTATCATACAATTTATTTTTGTGCATTTCAAAATCGAACATGGTAAGTCGACTAGTTGTAATCAATTTTAATTACTTTCCAAAATAACGATCATAAAAGTGATTGAATCGAAAAATGTGCAAGCTGAAGAATGTATGGTACCATTGTTATGAAACAGCCGTAGCCTACGTCATAACGAACAATAATAACATAATAAAACATCATAATTGTTATAAATCGTGAACCAGTTGTTCGTCGGAACCTACCCTATCGAATAGAGAATAAAACTGGGAAATTATTAATTGAACCCCGACCAGATTTTCTGTGTTGAACGTTCACTCTGCGCTTGCACGTTTTAATGCATATTCGATGTCGAACCGAATGACTGGCGCACACGTCGATATATCGCGTCTGGCCGTTTTGGTATATTCGAACGAACCGTCCTCGGTTATTTATCAACCCCGGAAACTGTTCTATACTGGCAAGTACCAGCTGCTTCCTCAAGCCTGCTGTAGGTAATTTAAACGGTTCTCATGAGAATCGAATTTACAGTTGCATAAATAGATCGCATCCCGTTTCGGGGATGTTGCTCGTGGTATCAAAAAGACATTTTATTTCATTAAGGATGTATAGGCTATATATTTAAACGATGCAAGCATGTTGAATTTATTATTATAGATTCCTGTTACTATTAAAAAGCTACCTGTAAAATTTTTAATCAATTCATGGGTTGTTCTACAAGCGTAATCTATAATTCAATAATATTCTGCTATATTCCGTTTCGCCAAATTGTAGAATCTCTGCAAGGTACCACGTCGGCAGTCAACAAATGAACTTATGTATATCTTCCAACTGAGTATACAAGAATATTTACGGGGGTGCGCACACAGGAAGGAGGCAACCTTCCGGATGCAACAGCGAAATTTCATTTCATTTCACTTCCGCCGCAGGCACAGTGCCATTAAGCGAAGACGCGGAGAAGAAAGGTTCCGAGCTTCTGCGAGAAACGTCGTTGTTTCTCCAGCGGTCTGCGCCTCGCCGCGCTCTCAAATATCGAGCAACTTTCACTTCTCGTTGCGTAATTATACGCCGCTAAGAAAATTCTACGATAATTAACACGGCTGCGAACGCGTTGCGAATATTTCCTCGAATGCGATCAGTATATTCATTTGAATGCACTTGTTGTATTTTCCCCGAAAATAAACAGGGATCGCAGCTAGTGGCTTAAAGCTAGCCATGTATGCGCGGCCAAGATACAATGAGTAGAGTTTATACTTAAAGTACTAAAAACTCAAAGGCGTATAATTGTGTAAAAGTAATAGCAAAGATAGAAATATTAATAAAATATTTTGATTGAGAGGAAAGGACGGAAGACCGTAATGGATGTGAGTCATATACCAATTAAGATAAGACGCAATACAAGAATGCTGTATTTCTTTAATTAAAATACTTAAAGAATTTAATGTATAATCTTATACGATCCTTCGGTTGTCATACTTTGTTATGAAAACTGATGAGAAAGAATACAACTGTTTATAATTAATTATTTAAAAAATACAAATTATAATAATTTTATAATCCGAAAATGTTCCATTGCATTGATTAAAATCTATAAAATAAATATTGATAAAAGAAATCTAGTAAGAATTGATTATTTATTTATTACAAGATTATGTTCGTAGATCGAGAGTGGAACGAATTGAAATTTTCTCAGTGCATGAATACGTCCCTATCCTCGTGCAGTTTTATTCCAGCCGGAGACGAGCGAGTCGTCAGGACATATGCGTCGCGTTTCCGGTTCATAAGGATTTTATTACCGGTCACTACGAGTTGTGGTATGCGATTGTTCCGCGGATGATAAAATCTTTCCCGCAAGCTAGACGTTTCTTTCGCCCGCGGGGGTTTCGGTTTTTCTGCAAAACCGTATCTGCTTACGTGCCGTGGCAATGCAGTCTCTTCTCACGGGTCTCCGTCCATGTCTTTTTGCGGCCGATGCATTATTACAGCCCGTTCACGTGTTATGTTTTGAACGACCGCCTCAATGATCGACCGTTTTGCTTGTTTCTGACCCGTTCTTAACGATTATTTTCTGAACTGAATTTTTTTCTAAAATATAAAGATCTA